AAAGCGACTAGCAATTGATTATTATGTAGCTGGCAGTCCATATGGGCTGCCATTGTTCCACGCGCACCTCTTTGGCAGGCAGTGTGGTCTGCCGCTGCCGTGAAGGTGTTAAACTAACCTTAAGTGGTGTGAAGTGTTAGACATCGCGCGATCTAGAACTTTCCGGTATTTTGTTGACGCACAAATTCCCATCGATATTTCTTTTCATACATCTGAAAGAGCGGTACTTCAGCGGTATTTTAGATCTCATTTATAATGAATGCACAAAGGAAATTCGTCTCTCAGGTATTGGGAGTGTATTAAACCCAATCTAGGTCTGGGCGCAGTTCCATACCTAAAACTGCATTTGAAGAAAACGCGTTTGAGAGAAAGTCACTGAAGTGCCTCAAGGATTAAAGGACGAATTCACGATTAGAATGAAGGTCGAAGAAGGAGTAATTCACCTAGTTGAGGGACCCGCGGACCTCCTGAGGGTGCGGACTGAAGCGCAATTGGCACCGAAAGGAGTTGACCTCGGCGACCTATTAAGGCTCAATCTTGGCGCGGTGGGCCAGTGCACGCCCACCGATCATCTGAGAGAGCGTAGTGTTGAAGAGGGCACAGCGATGAGAGTCGCATCAATGCTCAAATCAACGGGCAAGGAAGGGGTCCCATTTCTCGGGTTCTGGGCCGTTTCTCTTCTTTCGTGTACCACTCACCATCGCTAAGTTAATTTGAAATGGGTTGCCTTTCCAGCGTGAATTCGTCCTTTAACGGATTACAATGACTTGTAGGAGTGAGAGATGAAGCAGGCCATACTAAAACTTTTTTAAACACAACCTGTACCAATACAATTTAATTTTTCATACTCCCATTGCACTGCAAAGGCACTGCCTTTTATACCGGTTGCCTCCTGCATATCTCCCGTTGGGCCAAATGCACTCAAAGTGCTACTATGATTCAGAATGAAAGTAGAACGTGGCGCAGTTCAGAACGAGGTTGAGCATGTGGAGTGCCTTTTTCTATCTGCAATTCCGAAAATTAACTGCTAATTTAACATTTATGACTAATAATGGATCGATAGTGCGCGATGTTAATGGTAGACTGATAATAACTCGTAATTTTTTATTATATTTGCTCAGCTATTGACTCACTCACCTGCTGTTAACCTATCCTTTGTTTATTCATCCTTTTTATATCCCACGCTAATCACCAACAAAAAACAAGCCAATTCTCACACAGATTTTTAAAACGCCTGACAAAAAAATGGCATTTGAAGTGTTCTGACATGGCCACTTCAGGATGCACTTTTCATGGTAGCCTACGCCACTTAGAAAATAAATGCCTAAAGAAGTCATTTTTTTAATTTATTTGACGTTGTTTTGAAAAAAAGCCTTTTTCAGCGGACCACTCACATCGCCTACACTGTCAACGACCTCTCGAACTTGCTGGTTGTGCTGAACTCGGCCACAACTTTTCTTGTATATTTCATCTTCTCTGAGAAGTATCGACAAACGTTCATCTTCATAATAAAGTACATTATTTATTAACTCCTATTTTTTTATTACTAAATTTTAAAGATTATGCATTCTTCAGAAATGGTTGTTGTGCCTCGATTTCCGACTACAACACCTATACTGCGATGTCACGAACAGCTTCGATGCGAGTAAACAACAGCACAGGCGATCTGCAACGGGCAGGCAGTAAACTCAGCACAAGCAGGTTGGCCAATTCGGTTGTTGATTGTTTAGTTTTGAAGTAAGGAGTAAGTGCAAGGCGTTGGAGGAGCACGCCCGGAGCACTGCTTTGAGATCAAATCGCGAGGCCAAAACGAACGCCGATCAAAACTATTGCAGGTGGTTGAGCTGACAGACGGTTATCTAACCAGAAATGGCTTTTGGATGCCATGTAATTTTGAATTGAGGCCTAGGCGAATCGTTAGAGCCTGGGATGCTGGTTACAAACATGAAGCTTGAAAACTTTACTAAACCTGCCGAGGAAGTTGTAAACGCTCAAAATGGTCCAAGGTTCGATTCCCTGTGATGAAACAATTTTTGCATTTTAGTTGAAAAAACCGCTTCCAAATTATTGCCTGATGGCGTCAATGCCAACAGTAGACGTCATATTCCTGATCACCACAATCGGTATCCTTTGAGGAGGCTTTCATCGAATACCATCATACCAAAGTAGCATTCATAATCAGCTTTGACCACCCATAACTTCCTTGGCAGGTTCACCTACCAGTTTAGACCTTCATCACAACCCTTCCAGGCTCTAGATCAATTCTCAATTCAAAGTCCCATGGGAGTAGGATACTTCCCTGATAAGGGGAAAAGAAATCCAGAAAACACGTCTAAAATAGTGGTGGTCTGCACTGGTTAATGGATAGGTCAAATACGTTTCCGGTTTTCTCAGTGACTGCGGACGGTTGCCGAATGGTGCACCCATCGCTCTGACCCCAAACCCCTTATCATCCTGTTCAACTGTAATTTTCAAAAGCGCCATAAAAATGCGTTTCAGCCGTAACTCGGATGTGTTGATGAAACCGCTGTTTATGCAAAAGGAAGGCAATCGCTTTCCCTTGAAACACAACAGCCGAAATAGCAAATGCATGGACGACATACGGTTACCTCGACTGCCGACGGAGAAGCGGAAGAAAAAGCACAAGTAAGTTCATTTTACGCATTAGTCGCAGCACTGCACAAGGTATGGATTTTTGCTCCATACCACCAGGGTTGGGAACATCAACCGTTAACATCGAGCAAGGTATCCTCTATTTCGGAGAACGAGAAGAGCGTTGAATGCAGACCACACACCACAAGGTGACGACGGCCAATAGAAAAGAAAAAAAAGCCACTTTTTTCTTGGCCGTCGTCACTTATGGTGTGTGGTCTGCATTCAGCGCTCTTCTCGTTCTCCGAAGTAGAGGGTAACTGGTTTTCTGCTGAGGCAATCATGTTGTGTCGTAGCGCCGCGTAGTGATCAGTCTTACCGGCATGGCGCCAGCGTAGTGCATGCTGGGTAAGGAGGGACGGTGCGTCTAAGTTTCAGCGAGCAGATCACTTGTTATACTTCGAGCGGGTTGAGCTCGTTGTAGATAAGCAAACACAAGCTTTCACCGTACAGACAGATGTTTTGTGGCGACAGGATTGCAGAAAGGGTTGCTCTCATACGACACAACTCAAGATGTTCAAAATGATCGTAATCACTGCCTTTGAAATGAATATTCATAAAAACTTTCTTACGCACCCTCATACGACTTTATATGCAGCACTGATATTATAGCAGCGGATCAGCCAATA